CGCCATTTCTCTAATTTACCATTGTTTTATAGAAACTTTGTAATATGTGTAAAACATATATTTAATGGCGAAATACAATATATCATATTTATCTATTAGAGATGACTCAATTGCCCATGTAGCGTGCAATAAGACACGCCTATTGCGGCTTTAATTACTATTAATCTGTTTTTATTGTTTTAACTTCACAGTTACTAATTGGTTCCTGGGCAAATGTAATTGGAAATACCCTGCGTTTAATCAGCACATTACATTTCGTTCCATCATCATTGACTTTTCCATTAGTATTAACTGGCCAATTTATAGCAGGATCAGCATTTCCTATTTTCACGAACTGTCCCACTAAAGTTTCGGAGCAATGGTTTAGTGAAAAAGAAAGAACATTATCTACTATGATTACAACTACTGGTTTTGCTTCTATATTAGTGAACATATTATCGCCCATGTTAATAGAATACAAAGGAGTGCAGTTTATGGTAAGAAATGTAATTTAATAGACTTCCATTGTCCCCGTGAAAATCATAAACCATTGAATATTGCATCCAGTGTCGCGTCGATCTTAATCAAAATCTAATATGACTGTCATTCCATCTTTTTACATTATCTCAAGCTTTATATCGCAGTTATACGTACATGTATTTTGATATGAAATCCTTATAATAATTTATTAACCTAACTGGTAAAAAATGGGACTAATTGTGTGTCTTATATAATCAGAAAACTGGTTTATAATATTCACATGCAGCAAATTTGACCTTGACATGACCTTTCTAATGCCCGTTTTGCAAATCTAATAGCTCAGTCGTCGAACCTCTTCCTTTGCCATTTTATTCAATTCAGCGGCTTACAAAACATACCTTAGTTATGTAGCTAAAATATGCCAGATTTGTTTGCACCAATTGCAATTAGCATATGAACACATATGAAGTGTGGCCGGCTGAAATAGCATAATGAAAAATAAACAAGTGTGGATTTACAAAAACAGCCAACATTGATCACATGACCAACAGTGGTATAACTACTTTTAGCATCATTTAGTACAGTGCCCAGGCATCCTCTTTCTGAAAATCGTTGGTTTGAATCAAGGTTGTTGCTGCTCAATACAATTTTATAATTTTAAAAAGTGCGCGAAATGTTTGTAAATAAGAAAGAATACTCTCCAAGCAGATGGTGAACGCAAACTGTTGACTATTGGACGAACGGCGAGCCCCAAAAAATAGTATCTGTTTTTACTCATGTCGCAATCATTGCAGTTGATGCGAGTAGTGGAGAATCTACACTAGTACGCCGTAACAACAAAACAGCATTACATATTGCAATATCTTAAAGGCTTCTAAGTCACTACGTCAATAGTTATTGGTTTGTATATATGATTCTAGAAAGACAACAGCTTGGCTATATACTCATTTTTCTGTAGTTGATAATATATGGTATTCCTGCCTTACTTGGTGCAGTCCTAACAACATTTGGTTTGCATAGCAGTGTACCACCATCACCACCTTCAGCTAGTGCATCTGGAAATACACAACCATTCTGGACTGGTTTAAAACAGGTAAGTATTACAACAAAAACTGATTCAATTTCATTAAACGTATCATATATAAGAATAGATGGCGCAATGACTCATGTGTTTTTACTAACTGCGCATGCGTGTCTGATTTCATTGTTGCACATGTTCTATTTGAGGGCGCAGCTCTGAATTCGGAAACAAATAAAAGAACAGCTTATTTTAATAACTTCACATCACTTCATTGACACATTTACACTGTTTTACATAAATTATGCTCAACTCGTGAATACGTTTTTTCAATGATTACAAATACGGCGGGAAAGCACGGGTTGAATGTTATATGTATTGTGAAAATTCAAGGTTAGTCATTTGCTTTTGTCTCGCCATTATGCTAAAAATAGTAAGTATGAACAAGTGAATTTGTAACTGTATCCTTTTTTTTCACTTTTTATTTAGATTTTAAAGATCAAGCAATATTGGATTTTTGTCGTAGCTTACGGATTAGGAGGTGGTTTAGACATTAGTTTTGGAGCGTTATCTGAAGAAATGATGTGTACTCATGGATATACGCCTGTGAGTAATCTAAAACAAATGAGCGAAAAAAACTAAAAAATAACAACAATATGTCAGCCGATATAGCTCCTCTGGTAGTAGTATTAATATATAAGTTGAGAGGACAAACTAAAATAATGACCACAAATAATAGATATTCATGACATTCTACCTTTTGTACTTCAAAATGTTGAATGACTAACCAATGACAACTGAGCCACACAATGAATATTCCAAGAATCGACGTTTCATATTTTTTCTTTATATTTTTGAATACTTGTCAGTCGTATATAAACAGAATGGTTTGTTAATTATTAAGATATCATGAAGCAAAATACACTATTGATAAATATATACTACTAGCTACTATTTGCGAATAATAAAACAGATTCGTGTATTTTCTATTTCATTGCTAAATAAATTCGAATCAGCTCATTGAATGTAAAAAAGAGCATAATCGCGATTCGACGAATATACAACTAGACAACTATGATCGTTACCGGAGTTTTTTAATTTTTTATAAATTTAAGATTCAAAATTGTTTACAGTATTGTATACATAAAAATCAATATCGATTTGATTGATATGCTCTCTGAATATTCATGACCCGGTAGTTAAAAGCCCAAACAGCTTTGTGCGACAAATCCGTTGTATCACATCGATGTTTCAAATTGGCCTGAACAGCGAGAAAAAAAAGTGTCATCGTTTCACATGCGCTTTCCTTCGTGTTAGACCATACACTGAATTTGCTGGTAACATAGACGCAATGATAGAATTGTCTCGAAAACATGCTCGAGTTTGACTCACAAAAAACATACATCAATGTTTTTTCAGAGTAATGTAAACTTCAGTGAGGTGTGAAAATATGTTGATGCATGAAACAGGAAATAATCCATGGTAATTTTTGAAACATTATTTCCTTATTTTCCAGACATTTATAGGTTTGGTTTCAGCTTTTAATATTGGGATTGGCATTATCGGTTCTCTGGCAGCTTCACTATTTGTGGACAGAACAAAACTCTTTGAAGAGACTGCAAAAGTTACTTTATCTCTGGGTGTAGTTTTTTCATCACTATCAATGACGGTGAGGCACTTTATTTTGATGAATCTAAAATACTTATTTGAATGTCGAATATATTTTTGTATATTGCTTATTTGGATTGCAGTTAGTACAAATACAAACACGAGACTATAATAAGAATGGGTATGTTGAAAGAGCTGTAATCAACTAATCATAGTCAGTCAGCAATATGTGATTTTTTTTCGTTTTTTTGCTCCTCAGGTTTCTTGCATTCCGCACCAAGAAGTTTTAATTATAATATTTTCTATACTCAATGGTATACTTTTCAGTGCCGCGTATCCTGTTAGTGTTGAATTGTTGGTGGAAAATACCTATCCTGTAGCAGAGGCTACGTCACTGGGGATCTTAGGGATCATTTCGTGAGTGAAATGTTCTCATTATATTTTAAAGGTAGTTTTTCTGAAGAACTCGGATTACATTATTTACAATTATTAACCTGTTTTGCAAATAATATATCTTATTCACATAGATACACCATGAGTATACCCTCAACATTTATGTTCGAAGTCTTGAGTCAACCCATGACACCATACGAGGAAATACACCAAAAATGCACATTATCTCATCGCCCCCCTTCATATACTGGTAGTATTATGAGGAAGTCAAATATCACAAAACCGAAAGATATGACAGGTATAGTAACATGGTTACTAGTTACTCTAGTTACATGGTTATAATTGCAGTGATTTAGTTATAACAAAGTACTAACAAAGTGCATCACAAAATATAATGAGGCCTCAGAATGTATTTGACAAGTATTGTCAATCATAAGTGGGTATATAGTATGTTCATGTATATACATTTCAAATACAGTTTTTCTAAATTTTAATCTAAATAATACGGATTCAGTGTCTAAAACCTACCACATGACATTTCAAACTTTTTACTCAAATCTATATATATATATATGCAACATATTTAGCATTTCTAATATTTAAATAATATTGTAAACTTAATACCAGTACAGACAGTTCTGCTTCATGCATTCTGTAGATGCTTGTTGTTTTTTTGTTTCTGTTTCGCGGTATGCATAATTGTAACACTTTTAATCATTTTAGTACTCTACTTTGATATTCTTGATATTTGGGCATAGAAATAATAGAAATGTCCAATAGTAAAAGGGATGGAGAATTGTTGATAATGCATATAGCTGATTAACTGAGACTAATTTATCCCAAACAAACTATGTCCTTTTGTGCTTACGTGCTATTATATATCACGTTTGTCTTTTTTACCCACTTGCAGTTGCTATGATGGTGTATTCTGGTCTAGCCTCATTGCAAGCTTTATGGATTATACTATTTTTCAAGTCTGATAACCGAAGACTAAACACAGAGAAATCACACAGTCTTATAACAGATTTACCAGAATCTGTACAAGAATCTACACACGTTCGGGCATAATGGAATAAGTTTCAGACGAATTATTGTTGCTGATGTTGTTTGATGTGATAATTGTCGTTGAATATAAAAACATTGTGTTAATTATTATTCATATTATTCAAGACCGGTTTGTGTACACTTTCCTGTTCGCATTACGGGTACAAACTGCTCCATTCCGGGTTTTAATGATTTTGTATATCCATGATAGTGACACAAATGCATTGGTCAGTCAATCGTTTTATTATCGCAATTCATATTATGAATTACGCACTAAAACTCATTTCTTAAAAATAAATGACGTCATAATATAAATAACCAATTGTATTTTCACTAGAACGACATCAAATTTAGTATATCCAAGTCTTTCACATACAAAATTCACAAAAA